AGAGAGAAAAAAGTGACAATTTTCTCTTCAAGTCAGAGAAACTGGAGTTCACTTAAGAATAGCTATGTAATTTTTTTATTCAGTAAGCAGAACAGAATTAACAAATAACTAAATTTGATATGATCACAACATACTTTTGAAATTACAGCAGTTATGCTTCCTTAATCAAACTGTACTTTTTAAATATTCTTCCTATCGTTCTTGTACTTCTGCTCTGCATAACAACATTCAGAAGGGCAAATATCTATAATAGCATAAGCGCTTAGACTTATATACCGCTTCACAGTACTTTCCAGCCCTCTCTAAGCAGTTTTCTGAGTCAGCATATTGCCTCCAACAATTTGAGTCCTCATTTTACTGATCTTGGAACAATGGAAGGCTAAGTCAACATTGAGCCAGCGAGATATAATCGATGTTATAAAGCTAAGAAAATGGATGAAAATATTGTATCTGTACAGAATATCTTTTGATATTCTAAAGTCTTCTCCTTGAATCTATTTTGCTATCAATTAGTTGCATCAACTTAGTTCCAGTTTCTATGTAGATATAAGAACATACTGTATTTTTCACACTATAAGACACATCCCCCCCCCGCAAAAAAGTAGGTTGAAAAGTCTGTGCATCTCATAGAGCAAATATTGCGGCAGAGGGAGGAGAGTTGGTGCAGCAGTGAATGTCACTGCTGCCACCACTTGCTGCCATCACGGAACATTGGAGCCTTTGGTGCTGATCAGTGGTTGGATCGGCCTCCTGGAATATCACCAACCAGCTGTTCTAGGCGGCAGGGATCACGGCTGCTAATCCCTGCCATCTAGAACAGCTGATCTGCGGTATTCCAGGAGGCTGATCCAACTGCCAATTAGCTGCTCGGCAGCAAAGGCTCCAGTGTTCACCAGCGTCGGCAGCAGCTCAGCTCAGTTGACCGGGAGTGTGCGCAATAGAGCGGAGCCCTGATGAGCCATGTGCTGGGGCTGCAATAACATGCTTAAGCTGACCAGGCTGTTTGCTGCAAGGATGCTAGCCAGATGAATACCGGATGGATGCTGGGAGGCAGAGACAGAATTATTTTTTTCTTGTTTTCCTCCTCTAAAGCTAATGTGTGACTTATGGTCTGGTGCATCTTATAGTGCAAAAAATATGGTACTTTTGATTATATTGGTAAAGCTATAAGGCACAATCTGGAATAGGAATCCTTAAAAGCTTAATCAGTTTAACAGCAGAATCTAATCAGGTTTCTTTTGAATGAATTATGCAGTAAGTAAGGTTACATGGTCTCAAGTTTAAATTCAAATACTTACAATTTCTAATTGTTAATAGCATCAACACATCCAAAAATTTTCTTGAAACTGTGCTATCTGAATGAATTGACATCATCTATTTGAGAAAAAACATATTTGGCAAATTAAAACATTTGTTACAGATTTAGTAACCTAATACAACAGCTTGTAACACTGGGATTGCAACATGATGCCTTTGAGTACCATAAGAAACTGCTATGACCTGATGCTCTTCCTGCCAGAATTCTTTGGAAGAATAAAACAGTGTTTCTCAACCAAAGTTAGCTGTGGAATTCTAGGAGTTGAAGTCCACCCATCTTCAACTTGCCAAGGTTGAAACACTAAAATAGGACTGTAAATTTCCTCTGAAACATTCCCAGCCAGCTAAGTTCTGTTTTTGCTTTTTTAGAGGTTTTTGAAAGGAAGACATTTCTATGCTTCACAGATTATTTTTTCTACTAAATTTGCTGTACACGTTTGAGGGGAACATTTTACTAGTATGCATCTGAGAATTCAATGTTTCTCAAAACATCACCTTTTTTTCCTCTGAAATTGATATTTTGTGATATTGTCTAGGAGCAAACTTATTGTTTGGTATTAACCTTTACTTTACCCTTTGTGAGTACATAGGTCTATTGCAGCCATTGTGCCACTAATAATTCTTCAAATTTTCAAATGTATTCACAATTTTAAAAAAAACGAGACACCAACAGAATATAGTGATTTGTAAGTGATTTAGCAATGATTTCTTGAAATGCTATGTTCAAAGGCAGTACAGCTTTTTCTAAAAAAACATGCATATCCTTATGGAACCCACTTTTGATGTGTGAATAAAGATAAAATAGAATACTAAACTGACTAGTTTCTCAGGCAAAACCAATGACCTGGGGTACTTTTAGTATTCCTACATCCAAACTGTCAAATAAATAATACATTCTGCTAAAGAAGTAGAGGGGAAAACAACAGGCAAGCACACTGAAAATGTGAAATGCAAAATATCAGGTAAATTTTTAACATTATTGAATATAATCTTATAATTATTTTTTAAATGAAGTAAAATTAAATGAGAATATTCATTCTATGCACTAATGCTATTCTTATTGACACTGCAACATGACAGAAATACTGGCTAAAAATGTAAAAAAAAAACCTTCAACTTTTCTGAATTTGGCAAGTGATCAAGTTCCAGCAACTAATGGTCAAGAATAAGAAAGTGGAAAAAGTTAATGCAGAAAACTAAGCTAAAGTAGTGAACTAATTATAGTTCATACTCATTATGTATTTAATTATATTCCTCCAAAGCAAAATAAAAGATAACTTACCTGAAACATCCATTTTAAAATTGGTACGGGACAAGGAGAATTATGGTAAGTAGATGTAAGTAAGCCTTCAATAGTTACAAAAAGCTGTTGTGTTATTTCAGATCTGCAGAAACAACCACAAATTAAGGTTTGACCTGATATTTTCAAAGTTAGCCTACACCAGTGATGGCGAACCTATGGCATGTGTGCCACAGGTGGCACACGGAGCCATTTGTCAAGGCACACAAGGCGCTGCCCTGTCAGCTGAGTTCACCCTTTTTTAAAGCCATTTTTCGCCCTCCCCAGGCTCCAGAGGCTTTATAGGAGCCTGGGGAGGGCGAAAAGAGCCTCCTCCCCCCCCGGAGGCCTTCTAGAGGCTTCATGAGCTTCCCCGAACCCTCCAGAGCGTAAAAAACCGGCCCTACGGGAAAACCGGAAGTTCAGGAACGGACTTCCGGTTTGCTCGGAGGGTCATTTTGACTGCTCTGGAGGCTTCAGGGAAGCCTCCAGAAGGTCCCTGAAGCCTTCAGAGCGCTCAAAACGACCCTCTGAGCAAACTGGAAGTGAGGGTCATTTTGACTGCTCCGGAGGCTTCAGGGAAGTCTCCTGAATGTCTCTGAAGCCTCCAGAGGACTTCCGGGGGGCGGGGAGGCTGTTTTCGCCCTCGGCAGGCTCCTATAAAGCCTCTGAAGCTTGGGGAGGCAAAAAAAGCATGCAAAAAAGGGGGGAGCGCCTGTAGTGCACGCATGCACACTGGGAGGGTGTTGCGCATTGCTTTATGGGTGTGGCACGCCCGCACATGACCCCCCTGCATCCTCCCCACTTATGGCATGCAAGCCAAAAAAGGTTCGCCATCGCTGACCTATATATTCAAACGGTAAAGGATCTATTCTTACCTAAGAAGATATTGTTCAATCCGATTCTGAGGATGAAAACCAAAGTTTCTCAAATCAAGATTATTCTGGCTGAAGATTTTCCCAGCATTCACTATTTGAAATATGTTTTCTCCAGGGTGCTGGTCGGGAATAGCATCCTGGCTGAATGAGTATTTTTCTATAAATTCTCTGAAAGACAAAATTATATCTGGAAATACACTAAAAAGAATTTAAAGCACAATAATTTGGATGTTAATTCACTTCAGTTTATTGACCTGGATGAGATTTTTACTTAAACACTTTAAAAACAATCTCTCTATACCTCCTTTCTAGCTAACTTTAGGATATCCTATAAAGCAGTTACTATGAAAAGAGGAGAACTTTAGGAGTCAGAGTAACTCAAGAGTTATGTTAAGTTCATGTATTGTATTAAAACATAGTTATGTATGTATGTATGTATGTGGCTAAGGATGTTGATAAACTCAGCACATTACATCAAACCATGGCTGAGCATGATACATAAATACAGATACTAAATGACAATGTATCCAAATAAGTATAATGTTAAAATAACTAGAAAGCTAAGAAAGGGAATAGATTACAGAAGTCAATGACAAAAAAGTATGAATATGACAAATATGACAAACAGTATGAATATAACTGTAACAATATGAGAACGCAATTAGCAACTTAAATTAGAGGACCAACCTATGCTCAGCAGATAATTCACCATCAGTAGATTGATCTTCAGATTCAGAGTTTATTCCAACTATCTCTTTGACTTGCTGTAACTGGTTCTCTAATTCATCTACCCTAAAAAGAGAGAGAAAACTTCTTTCAGAAGAATCTTGATCCATGGTTATAAAAACAAACTTTTCAGAAACTTTATATGGCAAGATAGTAGCATTACCCAAGATGCTTCTCCTGATCTTTTAAAATAAAATCTGGTACCCATGTGGCTATCTAATCTATAAGCACGTACTGTCACATGATGTAAGCACATTTCTGGTAATAAAATAAAAGTGCTGAAAGTCTTGTTTCAATGTCAGTTCTTTTCTACTGAAAACAGTTAAAACAGGCTTGTCTGCTTTAAAGTGGTAGGACAAACAATCTGAGATACTTTCAGTACAGAAAGGCGAGAGAGTGGGCTACACAAAGAAGCCAGGAAACTTGTTAGGGGGAATTACTGCATTTACCAGCTTCTATAACAAATTGTAACATTATTTTATTCATACATCACTTCTGCAGCTGTTACATTATCTTTCCTTATGGATGGGCTATGGATAATCTTTCTATATCCTTTTTTAAGGGCCTAAAGGCATGGCTCTGAGAGCTGGCTTGGGGCCCCAGTGGGGGAATAACAGAGCGGAGGTGGTTGATTGAGAAACAACAGATCCCAGCTTCCCCTGCATTCCATCCCACCCTCCTCACATGTTCTCATATTCTAATGTTTAATTTTAATTTGTTTTAATGTATATATATATATATATATTGTATATGTATTGTATATATAGACATATTTTATGACTGTAAGCCACTGACTATGGTAAGATGGGAAGCTATTACATTTTATAAATAAATAAATAATAAATAGAGGATAATATATGTAGCTTAAGAGTCCTTGGTCTCTCTGAGTTTGGTTGTGTGGATGCAGATGTTTCATTACCAAGTAGGTAACATCATCAGCGCAAGTGAGAGGGATTTCGCAGAGATCAACACCAGACAAACAAGCAAGCAGAAAACAATATCCCAGTCAAGGAATAACAAGAAGAAAAACCATATCATCATTAACACTGGCAGGGCATTCTACTGTATATAAACAGGGAACTGTATATAAACAGAGAGTATGAGGTACAACCCCATCCTCACTAGCAATGATGATGTGACCAAGTTGTGTAATGAAACGTCTGCAAACAACCAGACTCAGAGAGTACCCAGGATCCCATAAACTTAATTTATTAGCACTAAGATTCTGGTAGCCTTTGTTTTAGTTTATTACTAATTTCACTGCCCTCTACCCCCAAGTGATAAATCTTTATTACTGTCCTTTTATTTTTTAAAAAATCATTAATTAGCTGTCCCAAGAAATAAGCTGGAAACATTACTTAACTGCCTTTTTGTGATAATGTCCCAAGGCCATAAAGAGGAAGGTTATCTCTTGCTCTGTCTGCTTGAAAATAACCTTCATTTATTTTTTATTATTGTTTTTACATTTGTCCCTGTTTTTCTTCTCTTTCTAGGCTCTCCCATACCTACATGAAGTCAAGTCACACCTTCATCTAAAAAAACTTTTTAAATCTTAACAATTAAGTACTTTTTCATTATATACGTAAAAACAAAACTTAGCTCACTTGCCAAGAAGCAGGTGAAATGCAAGTAACAGCCAAGTTATAATTATGTGTAAACAATGATGTGTAATTATATAAATGAGGATGGACCAGAAAGGTAAGCATGCATACCTCCTTAACTCTTCCTTCTCTTTCAGGAGATGCTCCAAATGATTCATGTACGAGGCCCCACGCTCAGTAAAAACTTTAGAAAGCTGAAGCAAAAGTCCATGAAAAAGATAAAAAATATTTTCAGACCACTGATAGCTATTAGACTTAACAGCTACATTTCTTAGATGTTTATTCAAGAAAATGCTTGAAAGAGCTAGAAACACCTGAAAATCAATTATGACAGTTGAGCCCAAAATGTCTGTTAAGTTAGACATTTATTAAGCGAGTTCTGCCCCATTTTACGACCTTTCTTGTCACAGTTGTTAAGTGAATTACTGTAGTTGTTAAGCTATTGACAGTTATTATGCAAATCTGGTTCCGATCTGATTTTGCTTATCAGATCACAAAAGGTGACCAAATGACCATGGGACATTGTAGCTATCCTAAATATGTGCCAGTGTCCAAATTTTGATCTTGTGACCACAGGGATGCTGCTTATAATCATCGTGAAAAATGGTCATAAGTCACTTTTTTCAATGCTACTGTCACGTGACTAAACGTCACTAAATGAATGTTTATAAAGCAAGTACCTGTATCTCAAATGTAATAAGTGGAATATCAGAGGGGAAAAAACATGATCTCTTTAAAACATTGTTTGTTGGTCACAAGCCCTCTAATAGACTCCAACCTATTAACTGAAAAAAAAAGTGACTGAGCTAATCACAAGTATGTCAATATGGGATTCCCCCCCCCCCCCCCTATTATGTACAAGTACAAAGTTTCAAAAGTTTCCACCACAAGCAGGATCAATTGAGAAATAAT